CTGAAGTATGTGAGTGGAACTTACAACTATGGCATGTTGTACTCTCATGGATGTGAACCAATTCTGTCTGGTTACTGTGATGCTGATTGGGCTGGTAGTGCTGATGATAGAAAGAGCACCTCTGGAGGATGCTTCTTTTTGAGAAATAATCTTGTCTCTTGGTTCAGCAAGAAACAGAACTGTGTGTCTCTATCCACTGCTGAAGCTGAATACATAGCAACTGGTAGCAGCTGTTCTCAAATGATCTGGATGAAATAGATGCTAACTGAGTATAATGTCACACAAGATGTCATGACATTGTACTGTGACAATCTGAGTACTATTAACATTTCTAAGAATCCTATACAGCACAGCAGGACTAAGCATATTGACATTAGACATCACTTCATCAGAGACCTTGTGGAAGAAAAGGTGATTAAGCTGGAACATGTTGCCACTGAACTACAACTGGCTGACATTTTTACCAAGGCACTTGATGCTAGTCAATTTGAAAATTTGAGGGGCAAGCTGGGTATTTGCCAATATGAAGAGATGTAGCAATTAATTTTGCTTAAAACAAGGGATAAAAGAGATATTTTAGTTAAGTCTATTTTGATTGGGCTAATCATCTGTTTCCCTCTTTCTTTCCAAAATTTTAAGAAGTGGAATAGACATTCATATATCTCCCTCTTCTCACGTTCCTGCAACAGTCTCCATTCTCTCAAACGAAGATTTCACACTCGTTGTTACTTGTTTTCTAAATCGCTTAATATGTCTCAACAATCCATGTCATCATCTTCATCAAAGGCGACTGCTTCTTCCGCACCCTCTGACACCGAACCTAGGGCAATCACAAACTGCATGGATGCTGATGTTCTTGAGATAACTCCTCTTCGTGAACTGGCAGCTGATCCTACTAAGGTCAAGAAGCTGTGAACCAGACATGCAAGAAGATCACAAGCTTCTCCATCTGGTAAATCTTCTCAACCATCATCTTCTGTTCCTCCAAAGATAGAAAATAGGGAAGGTTCTGCTTATGTACATCAAGCTATTGCCAGACTAGTCACTAGGATTCTTAATGAGAATCACTCTGTTCCTGGCATTTCTGTACCTTTGAACCAAGAAACTGCTAGTCCTAATGTAGAAATGGATCCAGATGTCACTCAGAATGTTGAGACACCTGATGACAACATTAGGAAATCTCCAGAAAAACATGATGATCCCCAGAACCCTACTAACAAGGCTGTTGAACCCCCTGTGATTGATGTTGATGAAGAATACTCTGACAATGATTTAATTGCTAATATCAACCCTAGCATAGCTAGAAGGATGATGAGCAGAAAAGAAAAGCAGAATGCTGCCCAAAGCCCCTCCAAAGAGAAGGCTACTGAAGTTGTTCATAAGAAAACCAGGTCTGAGAACAAGACTAGAGTAGAAGCTGAGAAGGATCAAAAAGCTGGAATGTCGAAAGGGAAGGGGAAGGTACAAGCTAGAGTACCTGTTGGTAGTCTCTCAAAACCTTTGAGACAACCTATAGCCAAGAAAAGGAAGGATCCTGAACCCTCTGAAACTGATGAGGAATCAGACTTTGATTTTGATGTTGAGAGCAATGTTCCAAACATTCCTCTCAGGAAGAAACCCTCTTCTAGCAAACTGCCTAAAGTCCCTGAAGTTGCCATTGACAACATCTCCTTTCACCATCCAGAAAATGCAAGCAGGTGGAAGTATGTGTTTCTGAAAAGGATTGCCTTGGAGAGAGAGCTGAATAGCAGTGCTATTGAGTGTAAGGAAATCATGGATCTAATCAAGGCTGCTGGCCTAATGAAAACTGTGGTCAAGTTTTCCAACTGCTATGAGATTCTTGTCAAATAATTCATAGTAAATTTGTCTGATGGTTGTGCTGATGGAAAGTCAGCTTATTTTAAAAGTGTGTATGTTAGAGGAAGGAAGGTAAATTTCTCTCCTTCTGTAATAAACAAATTCCTAGGAAGGCCTGATGATGCTCAACCTGAGCTTGAAGGTTGAACGAACCATCTACATGAAGAGTCCAACTACTTACAATTTCTTACGGTATTGGGTTGCTTAATTAAACTATGAAGTTAACTATCACCTGTGATTTGATGCTATTTCTCGGGGTGAATTTAATATCATACTCTAATAATTCCACAACCCATGTGACCATTCTCCCAGCTAGATCCAGCTTCTTCAATATCTGTTTGATAGGATAATTCGTTCTTATGGATATCATATGACCTTGGAAGAAGTGCCTCAACTTCCAGGTTATTGTTACCAATGTTAATGCTAACTTTTCGATCTTCTGGTAGCGCTACTCGGCTTCTTTCAGAACTTTGCTGACGAAGTACACTGGTTTTTCCCCATTTTCTCCTTCCTGCACAAGAACCAAGCTCATAGCTTTTTTAGAGACCGCCAGGTATAGGGTCAAGGGTGCATTCTCCTCTGGTCTCGTCAGGATTTGGGGAGAGGATAAGAAGTGTTTTACTCCTTGAAAGGCCACTTCACATGCTGTTGTCCATTCGAATTCCAGAGGGTTACGAAGAAATAGATCGGTCTATCTCCAATGCATGATATAAAATGAGACAAAGTGCCTAACCTTCATGTCTATTGATGTACCTCCTTCTTTGAATACGGGCTACGAATGTCTATGGTTGCCTGGAATTTGTCTGGGTTGGCTTTTATTTCTCAGTTCGTGAGCATGAACCCCAAGAATTTGTCGGCTTGTACTCCAAAGATACATTTGTACGGATTAAGCCTCATATCATACCTCCTTATGGATGCTGGAATTTCTTCCAGGTCCATTACATGACATCTCTCCATGGTTGTTTTGACGACCATATCGTCTACATACATTTCCACATTCCTTCTGATTTGAGTGGCGAATACCTTATCCATTAGTCGTTGGTAAGTGGCTTTCACATTCTTGAGGCCGAACGACATTACCTCATAATAATATTTACTTTGATCTGTCATGAAGGCAATTTTTGATGCATCAACCAGGCTCATGCGGATTTGGTTGTATCTCGAGTAGGCATCCATGAAGTTGCACAACCTGTAATTTGAGGTTTCATCAATGAGTCCGTCTACCTGCGACAATGGATAGGGGTCCTTAGGACAAGTTTTATAGCCTTCTTCTTTTCTTCTCCACCTTTCTTCTTTTTTTGGTACACTGGCTTTGTATCAGGATTTAATGTCAAATGATGACACGTGAAATTGGGATCTATTCTAGGCATATCAAAAGGCTTCCATGCAGACAAATCGACATTTTACTTCAACAACCTCAAAATTTCCGCCTCCTTCTCCTGAGAAAGATTGCCTCAGATATAAGTTATTTTGGATGGTGTAGGGCCGATCTGGACTTTCTTTGTTTCATCATAAGGAGAAAGGATGTCTTCTTGATATACCCCAATTTTTGCCCCTAAGATCCTCTACCATCCCGTATCATTACAATGCATCAAGATCACGCATTAGGGTTTGATTATCACTTCTATATCTCTTGTCTTTAAGTTTGTCCTTGAGGGGTCACCAAGAACCCTAATTGTGTATCTTGTATATATCTATTTTATATTTCACTCACCTCTAACTAAAAATACAAAAAATATGTCTTGTTTATTTTTGTTTCTTTTAGAAGACAAGGCTTCAGATTAAGGAGTTCGGGCAATGGTTTTTTTGACTAGAATTATGGGTTGTTCAGGCCAGGGATTGGATCTCAAGGGCCTATTTTTCATAGTGGTTATCTATAATATTAGGTCACGTTATCCTCAAGGTTCATTCAGCATGTTTAAGGCGAGTTTGGTTGCTTAATTATCAAGATTCTCTGAGACAGGTTCATGTGTTTATTTCCATGCCTTCTGCGACGAATAGTCTCAAGTTTTGAAATGTGTAAACATGATTTAATCAAGATTTCATCATCTCAAGTTTGTATGTGATTAAGAGTGCCTCGGGTTATGGAAAAAGATAAAGTTCACAAGTTGATTCAATGTTGGTTTGACCAAAAGTCAATGTTTGAAAGATCGAGTTCAAATGATCTCAACTTCTTCACTATTCAGTATTTTTGAGTAGTACTATGAGCATATGAATCTCCTTGACATCATCTCCAACTTCTCTTTACAATTCAAGAGCTAATTATGTGCAGAAAACCATCAAAAGTGTGAGTACATTAGAGGTCGTTTTGAGGACTTTGACCTAGTTTCAAGTGTCGGTCGTCCAACTTTCAATGATCATAACTCTTTCAATTTTCATTGTTTTGAGGTGATTCTTTTTGTAACGTGTCACCAATGGAGTTAACTACAAGATTGGTTCAAGGAGCAAGGGCAAATTGTGCTTAGAAGGTCATGAATTTTATTGAAACGTTTTAGATCATTTTTTGACTTATAATGTTCTTAAACTGTATATTCCAATTCATGTTACCAACTTTCTAATGTCATGATTCCTTTCCTCAAAGCCTTATTTTTGTATTGAGATTATCCATCATCAAGACAAGAGTCGTGGTACAAGATTACTGAGTTTGAGGGATCATTGGCCATTATGTCAAAGTTTAAAGATTCAAAATTCATGGATGAAAATTTATTAAAAGTTTTCAAGAAAGAATTCAAATTCAAATGGAGGGAATTTCTTATTTTCATGAATTTAGAAACTACAAGGCTCTCATTTTGTTTCAAGACAAAATTCAAAATTTCCCTTTGTTCAAAGGATAATTATCCTAAGTTTTTTAAAACATCATTTCAAATTCATTCTCAAGAATCCAATTTCTTCATACAAACTTCAATATCACAAGAATTGAAATTCCTATGGTCTAATTTCAAAGTTAGTTTATCAATTTACAAGGACATTCAAGTTTGGTACATAAAAGTGCATCTTCTCCAATATTATAATAATTCAAATTTGAAGAAGAGATTGAAGTTGAATTAGATTCATCATTATAACAAGACTTAGTTTATTACATTTGTTTTTCAAGATCCAAGGAAAATTATTTTTCTTAGTGTCTAATTGTATCAGCAACTCCATCAATTTACAAAAGAAAATTCAAATTCTTTGTTCCATGGAATCGTTTCTCTTTGCATCTTCAAGGTCTCCTCTTCATGCTCACACCATCCATCAATCAATACTTGAAAAATTGGAAAGGTTAGAATCAGCAATGTTCAAATTCAAAGAAAGAGACTCAAAAGTTCATCCAAAAATCTCTCAACAACAATTTTAACAAGTTCATCCAAAACAGGGGGTTAAGAATTAATCCCATGGTACACAATTTAAGCATAAGGCCTAAGATTAATTTCAATTAGTCTCACAAACAAAAATACAAAAATAGTGATTATTGGGCAGATTTGAAGGGAGATTTTTGTTGGGCTGTCTAGAGGTATTTTCTAACACTTCATTTTTCATAAATTCTCAACCCAATCCAGAAAATACTTTGTCCACAAAAAAACCCTAACCTACACTATATAAGTATTCATTTTGCACTGTCCTAAGGGGATTCTATTCACTGACAAATTCTGCAAACCAAAAGATGAAATAAGACTCACCTGGGACCGCCGGAACCGCCCTGTAGCTTACCAGAAACCACTCGCAAACTGCCGTCAACTACCTTCCACTGTCGAAAAACACCACCTCCCCTTGACCACCGTCTTTCTTCTCAAAAGGTTGACAAATCCTTCAATAAACCTGAATCCCCCCTCTAAATGTACATTCTGATTTGATTTATGTTTGTTTAAACTTGAAATTTCTAAAACTTCTCCGATAGAACTACTTCTTTTGGTTACCCTTTTTGACAAAAATTCTTGATATTTGAGATCTGAAGGAGGAGACGAACTGGAAAATATAAAAAAAAAAAATTGAAATCAGATCTGAAGGAGGAGACGAACTGGAAAATTCTGAAAATTTTTTTTGAATTTTTTAATATTTACATCTGACTTGTATTGATTTTATGGGATTTTCTATTGATGTTTATGTACCCCTTATGATATTCATCTATTTAATTCCTAAAAGATCAACTTTAATTTCATGTACTTGTATATACTTTTGTAATTAATTCTGATTTTTCTTTTGGGATGTTGATTTCTTCTTATGAGTTATCATTAGTGGCTTAAACTTTATGTTTGAAAGCCCAAGGATGATTGATTATTGAATTTTTTATCAAAACCTTTGAAACTTATTGTTATGAGGCTTTGGTATTATCAATCCTCTAAACAGTCTTCACTAACTTTGGCTTAAGTTAAATCTTTAATCATCATTGATCATTTACCATGGGGTTAATCTCTTCTTCATGCCCTTTCTTTTATTGCTTCTTTTTTATCAATTTGGATAAGATATTTGAACTTTAAATTCATCTAAGCTTATGGATAGTTAAAAAACTATCTTCCACGACTTAGGTCTTGATCACCCTCTTGTTTTTACTTGTGATACATGTTTTAGGAGTATGGTTTATGTTATACGATGGCGCGTATCTAGAGGGGGTCAATAGAGGCGCAAAAATTTATTCTAGACACAAATCTATAATTTAATTTGTTTTCAAAACCTTTTAATGTGGAAGTGTGATATGGTGGCAGAACCGACTGTTTAATACTGGTTTGCGTTTTTTGTTCGCAAATATCACAGTAAGCAAGAGTCACCACCGACTTTTAGTTTATCCAACAAGGAAAAGGAAAAAGAACAGAACAAACCTTTTTCGAGATGTTTCTTAGTACGGGGGTAGGTTATAGAAAGGGAAGGTGTTAACACCCTTCCTATCCATGGTTTTCCATGGGCTCTTAGGTACTTGCTCATTTTTAAATTGCTTGTGTGTGCTTGCCTTGAAAAGTTTTGTTTTACTTTGTTTTAACCCTTGTTTATGTCCTCAAGAGTGTTACGAAGTTGTTTTTGAAAAATTTGTTTGAAAAGTGTTTGGTGTGAAAAAGTTTGTTTGTTTTGAGCAAGTACTTAAGAACTAATCTACCTACTCGAAAAAGACTGTTCATTTTCCTTTAGACAGCGCTATCCTATTATTAAGGAATAGGTAGCACCGTCGTTGGAGTTTGAGGGACTATCGAAAGGGACGAAATGGTCATTGAAGGCAACATGTAAGGATACCTTAGCATTTTGAAGGGACTATCATCATATAGGCAGCATCGAAGGACAACATCATTTCTCATAGGCAACTCGAGGGACATTGAGGGACTATGATCTTTTTGATGATTTTTAGATTGAGGGTCTTTTGCTAAGATATCCCTACGTTCGAGGGACATGACCATTGTTTTTCTGAAGGCAACCAAGTGGGGAGTATACCCTAAGAGTGAGCATGTGCAAGTGTGCTTTTTCAGTTAATGTTATCTTTGCACATTAGGGTTTTCTAACTGTTTTTATTTTTCATGCAAATTGTCTTTCGCATACAATCCTAGGCATACATCTAGCAGTTTGATAGTTGTGGAAATTAAAAGCGGAAAAGTAAATCTAATTATTACAAGGCTTCGAGGAATGGAGATTACATAACCAAAACTTGGGGGGAAATTAAACAGTAAATAAAACCCTAGTTTAAAAGACTATTACAACCTCGGAGCAATTACAAAAATATAATGAAAAGTACGTACGACAAATGTAAATGCGAGAAATTAGGGTTTTGACCCTTGAAAACCAAATTGAATTTAATTAAAAAAAAATCATTTTTTGTCATTTTTATTTAAGGAAATAAAGAATAAATTGCAAAATATCCTAATCACTAATTAAGTTTTAATTATGAAAAATCAATAAATTAATGAAAAAACAATTAACCTATTTTTGTGTTTTTATTTTGAGAAGGAATTAAAATTAAGAATTAAACCTAATTTCTATTTGATTTTAATTGTGAAAAAAAGATTTAAGTTAACCTAATTAAACTAATTAATGCAATTAAATATTTTATGAAAAAAAAAAGACTAAACCTAATATTGTTTGTGATTTTCTGATTTTTATGTTTTGATTAAAAATGATTTTTGGAAAATAAATAAAATAAATAAATTAAAACAATAAAAATAATTGAAATAAAATAAAAAAGAAAAGATTGGGCCTGTGTGGTAGAATGCAGACTGGGGGGTGCATTGCCAAATTGTTAGGCCCAAATTGGTTGGCCCGTGTTCCTTGCGTGTGATCCCATGTGGATTAGCTTCAGAGAGTGCACCATGGGCTACTGTGGTTGGACACTGGATCTGGACCAAGGGATGATCCAAAGGGTAGGATATGTGAGCGTGTGATGGACGCATGGAATGGTGATGTACTGAATCTGCAGTAAATTGTTAGGAAAATAATAAAAGTGTGAATTAATAATTAAAAACCTAACTCTGATCAATTTACAAGTTAATTATGAAATAAAATCAATATTGATTAAATCAAAACAACTTTTATGTCAAAAATTATTTTAATTAATTAAAAGCCTAAAACTAATATTTAATGATTTTTTTGTGATTTTATATGTTAATTAAATTACTGATAGAAAACAAATCAAGTGAAAAATAAATAAATGAAAAGGGTTAGAAAAGAAAATAGTCAAAAAAATTGAAAAATGCATGGGGTGGGTGATGAACCCATGCCCCTTGGGTCACAGTTAGGCGCCTCATCCACCAAGCCAAGCTATTGTTTATGATTCAAACATGTTTTACGTAACAACAAGAACTCAATTGGACAGTTAATAAACATTAGCAATGCATGAAATTAATTATATGAATGTCTGAAAGAAAAGAAAATCGGAGAAGATGAGTATGCTTGTTCCAAGCATCAATGGCCATGACTTTCGACCTATTCTTACCCTTAGATACCTCAGGAATGATTTGTAATTGATGGCTTGGACTGAAAGTGGTCGGATCTTCGATTTTGACTTTGCACTAGTTTTGACAGAATTTGAGGTTTTTAGAGAGTGTTCTTGGGCAGCCAATTTTGTGCTCCCTAGTGTATGAGGGTGTTTTTTTATATAGAGGAGGAATTTAGGTCAAAAATAATGGAAGAAATCTCATGGTATCTTGAGGAATTATGAAGATTTGATTTGATTTTGGCCATGTATGATTTCTTTCCAAAATAGCTCCAATCATGACTTTTTCAATCTAAATCATCCTTTCACGAATTACATGCCATGCTAGCTATATATGGACTCATAATGTGCACAAAAATCCCAAGATTTGATTTGCTTTTATTATTTTACCATTTAATTTGATTTATTTTGGTTTAAATGAATAAAAAATCAAAATAAATGATAAAAATAATAAAATAATAGGTGGAAAATCTCAGGGGTCGTGGGTCCTATTAGAAACATGTTTCAAACAAGAAAATATGGGCCCCTTTGGAAAAAATGCAAATTTGATCAATGTTGACTTTTGACAATTTTCCAAAAATTGCCAACTTTGACAATGCATATCTCTCTCAATTTTGACCCTAGGGAGATGTTCTTGGACTTTTTAGAAAGCTTAGGATGTCCCTTAAGCAACCCTTTTGGTCTTATCTCAATTGAATCTTCCATATTCATGTATGAAGCTTTGACCCAAAAGGTGTTTTTGTTGACTTTTCAAAAGGACCTATAATGTCAAAATTCATATCTTTTTGTGAGTGCATATTTTGAACTTGTGGGATGAAGATGAATTGTAGGTAATTTCATCCTCTTCAAAATGAGCTTTGGATGGAAAATTTCTGATAAAGTATGTGGAAGTTATGCTTGGTCAAAGTTAGGTTGACTTTTACTAAGAAACCCTAATTTAGCAACTTTTGGGTTTTGATGAATTTGGAGCATTCCTTGAGGAATCATGATCAAACCTTGATCAAATGATGGAAGTCACTTCAAAATGTTGATGTTGACCAAAAATCTTGAGGTTTGACTGTATGTGGGTCACAGTTGACTTTTGACCTAGTATAGTCGCTTCTCAAGCATATGAGCAGTTGACTGAGCAAAATTCTTGTGCAAGGCATGAAACTTGGAATCGATGATCTTGGGGACATATTAGGACCTTGGAAAGCATTTTGGACCTTTGTGATCCACACATCTTGATGAAAGTGGAAACCCTAATTTGAGACACACTACCTTAGGAGAGAGTTTGTCTGGTCAACTTTTGGGCAAACTTGAGCAAATTGAGGATCTCTAGGAATATGTATTGAGTAAAATGAGAGGGAAAATTTTGGGGTACAACAGCTTCCCCTGTTCAATCTTCTTAAACCCGAGGATGTAGATTGGCTCGTCTGCCTTTCTTGATCTGAAGGTGGAAGATGATTGAACACTAGAGTGCCCAGAAATTTGCACTCGCATGAAGTGATACTTGATTTGTGATATCGGGAATGGGCTTATAGATGCCATTTGGAAGATGCTAGAGAATTGTCGGAGATGGGCTTAAATATGCCATCCAAGACGTGATGGAGTACCGTCAGAGATGGGCTTAAAGATGCCATCTAGAGGATGTTGATTTCCTGAGATATTCCTTTGATGAGAATCCCTGCTCCTGTCGTTGAGGAGGAATATGTTGAGGAATGTTGGTATCTGTCTTGGGAGAAATAGAATTTTAGGAGCTTCAGTTGTCCGTTACTCTATTGGGGAATTAACTCCGGACGTGAACTGCATATCTCGTCAGTGTATAGGCTGCATCGTAACCTACTGGGGAAAGGTGAAATCGATCGTGTTTGATTAGGTCCAGGTCTTACAGTGTTGTGAACTGTTGATGGGAGATAAGAGAAAAGAAACATGGATGGTAAGGTTATGAGAAGGAACCTGGATAGTAGGGCTTATGGGAAGGAACCTGGATAAGGTTTCTTCGTGAGGAGTTTGGATAAAACTGCATCTGAACCGAGAAGGAACCTGGGTAAGGTTGCTTTGTGAGGAGTTTGGTTAAAACTGCATCTGAACCGAGAAGGAACCTGGGTAAGGTTGCTTTGTGAGGATTTTGGGTAAAACTGCATCTGAACTGAGAAGGAACCTGGGTAAGGTTGTTCGTGATGAGTTTGTGTAGGGCTTTAGGAGGAACCTGGGTAGGGTTACTTCGGGATAAGTCCGTATAAAACTTCGGCAGGAACCTGGGTAAGGTTACTTTGGGCTAAGTTTGTGTAAAACTTCAAGAAGAACCTGGGTAAGGTTACTTTGTGATAAGTTCGTGTAAAACTTCAGAATGAACTGGGGTAAGGTTACTTTGCGATAAGTTTATGTAAAACTTCAGGAGGAACCCGGGTAAGGTTACTTTGTGATAAGTTCATGTAAAACTTCAGAAGGAACCTGGGTAAGGTTACTTTGGGATGAGTTCGTGTAAAACTTCAGGAGGAACCTGGGTA